TGTGCGCGCGTGCGCGTGTGCGCGTGTGCGCGCGTGCGCGTGTGCGCGTGTGCGCGTGCGCGCGTGTGCGCGTGTGCCCGTGTGCGCGTGTGCGCGTGTGCGCGTGTGCGCGTGTGCGCGTGTGCGCGCGTGCGCGTGTGCGCGCGTGCGCGCGTGCGCGCGTGCGCGCGTGCGCGCGTGTGCGCGTGGCGTGCGCGCGTGCGCGTGAGGGTCGCGTGTGCGTCGTGAGCGTGCGCGTGAGCGCGTGCGCGCGTGCGCGCGTTGCGCGCAGTGTCGCGCGCGTATCGCGCGCGTGCGCACATGTGCGCGCGTGCCGCGCGTAGTATCCGCGTCTGCGCAGTGCGCGTAGTGCATGGCGTGCGCGAGTGGCGCGCGTGCCGCGCGTGGTTGCGCGCGTGCGCGTGCGGCGCGTGCACGCGCGTGCGCGCTGTGCGCGCTGTTGCGTGCGTTAGCGCGCGGCGCGAGGTTGCGCGCGTGCGCGCGGTGCGCGGAGTTTTGTGGGCGTGTGGGCGTGTGGGCGTGTGGGCGTGTGGGCGTGTGGGCGTGTGGGCGTGGGCGTGTGGGCGTGTGGGCGTGTGGGCGTGTGGGCGTGTGGGCGTGTGGGCGTGTGGGCGTGTGGGCGTGTGGGCGTGTGGGCGTGTGGGCGTGTGGGCGTGTGGGCGTGTGGGCGTGTGGGCGTGTGGGCGTGTGGGCGTGTGGGCGTGTGGGCGTGTGGGCGTGTGGGCGTGTGGGCGTGTGGGCGTGTGGGCGTGTGGGCGTGTGGGCGTGTGGGCGTGTGGGCGTGTGGGCGTGGGGGTGTGGGCGTGTGGGCGTGTGGGCGTGTGGGCGTGTGGGCGTGTGGGCGTGTGGGCGTGTGGGCGTGTGGGCGTGTGAGCGTGTGAGCGTGTGGGCGTGTGAGCGTGTGGGGGCGTGTGGGGGCGTGTGGGGGCGTGTGGGGGCGTGTGGGGGCGTGTGGGTGCGTGTGTGTCCCAGTTCCCCTTCAATTAGGTTGGGCTCCCCAGGGGGCCAGGAAGCGTGTGAGGAGTGTGCCGAAATGCACGTGCGGAGGGCGGGGAGCCGCATGCGAACGGCCTTCGGTGGAGCTTCGTTTGGGGCTGCGAAGCGTGTGAGGGGGTGTGCCGACATTGGCATGCGGTGGGCGGGGAGCCACGTGCGGACCCTGTCACTGGGGCATGAGGTGGAGCTCCCTCTGGGGCCACGAAACGTGTGCGGGGTGTGCCGAAATGGACACGTGGTAGGCGGGGGAGCGCATGTAGACCCTCCCACTGGGGCCTTTGGTGGAGCTCCCCATGGGGCCACGAAACGTGTCAGGAGTGTGCGGAAGGCAGGGGGGGGAGGGGGAAGAGGAGGAAGGAGGAGGAGCGCGGGGCGCTGTCTCTTCAAAACGAGACCCGACACCACGGGATGGCTCGGAATAATGACCACAGTAAATTGGCTTGGCGAAGGACCCAATCATACGCAGTTGTGAGTGCCGCAGTTGTAGGTATCGTCTTCGGTGAGGCCCCCATGTGTGGCCACGGAACGTATGCGGGGTGCGCCGGAATAGTGAGGAGAAGGCATGCAGGCCCTGGGGGGCCTCAGGTGGAGCTCGCCATAGGGGCCACGAAACGTGTGAGGGGTGCGCCGAAGTCCAAAGGCGGTGGGCGGGGAGCCGCATGCGCACCCTGCCAGTGGGCCTTCGGTGAAACGCCTTGTGAGGCCACGCAACGTGTGAGGGGTGTGTCGACATGGACGTGCGGTGGGCGGGGAGCCGCATGTGAACCCCGGCACTTTGGCCTTAGGTGGGGGCTCCGTTGTGGAACGGCAGAACGTGTAAGGGGTGTGCCAGAATGGACATGTGGTAGGCGGAGAACAGCCGCATGCGACAATGCCACCGGGGCCTGCGGTGGGGCTCCCTATGGGGCCAGGAAGCATGTGAGCGCCGGATAATCCAAGTGCCGTGGGCGGGGAGCCGAATGTGAACCAGGCCATTGTGGCCTTCGGTGGGGCTCCCTATGGGCCCACGAAGCATGTGAGGGGTGTGCTAGAATGGACATGCGGTGGGCGGGGAGCCGCGTGTGAACCCGGCCATTGGGGCCTTCGGTGGAGCTCCTTGCGGGGCCACGCAACGTGTGAGGGTGCGCCGAAGTGGGCAGGCGGGTGGCGGGAAGCCGCATGTGGTCCCAGCCATTGGTGCCTGAGGTGGCGCGCCCTATGGTGCCACGAAGCGTGTGAGGGGTGCGCCGAAATCGACATGCAGTAAGAGGCGAGCCGCATGCGAACCCTGCCACTGGGGCCTTCGGTGGAGCTCCCTACGGTGCCACGAAGCGTGTGACCGGTGTGCCGAAATAGACATGCGGTGGACGGGGAGCCGCATGCGAATCCAGCCATTAGGGCCCTCAATGGAGCTCCCTCTGCGAACACGAAGCGTGCGAGGAGCGTGTCGAAATGAGGCGGCAGGGCCGTGCGGACCCTGGCATTTGGCATTTGTGCCTTGGTTGGAGCTCCCGATGGGGCCCCGAAACGTGTGAGAGGTGGGGGCGACATGAAGCGGCGACGCCATGCGGACCCTGGCATTTGGGCCTTAGTTGGAGCTCTCTATGGGGTCACGAAGCGTGTGAGGGGTGTGCAAGAAATTAGGCGGCGTAGCCATGCGGACCCTGGCATATGGGCCTTAGTTGGAGCTCTCAATGGGGCCACGAAGGATGTGAGGGGTGTGCACGAAATGAGGCGGCGGGACCATGCGGACCCTGGCATTTAAGTCTTAACGGTCGCTCCCTGTGGGGCCGCGAAACGTGTGAGGGGTGCGCCGAGTAGGCGGCGACGCCATGTGGACCCTGTCATTTGGGCCGTCGGAGGAGCTTGCTGTGGGGCCACGAAATGTGGGACCCTATGTGGACGCAGTCTCGGAAAGGAAGGGGATGGGGGCAGCGGGAGGGAGTGGAGCGCGGCGCTGTGTCTGCAAAAGGAGGACCAAACGACACAGGATGGTTGGGAAAAATATGGTATTGGAGTCCGAATCGTGATATGATAACCCATGTCGGGGATTGCTGAACGTGCCCCTGGTTCAATCTATGTATATATATATATATATATACGAGCGTGTATGTACAGGTGCCCCCCGCCTTTTCGCTCCATCTTAGATCCCCTGGTGGCCACTGGGCCTCGTGAGCAGTGCTCTGGAGGCCGTGTGGGTCTCCGTGGGGATCCTGGGGACGCCTTGGGCCAGGGACACCACGTGGCAACACCCCAAGATGCCGCCGAGGGCGAGACCATCCCCGTGGACCTGCCGAGCGCGCCCCAGATGCCCGGGCTCTGGCAGCATCCCAAGGCCATAGCCCGGCCCGATCGGCTCGCTTGGGCCCCCACGCCATGGGAGGAGGAGGGGGAGGAGGAGGAGGAGGACAAGGAGGAGGATCGAGGATCAAGGATCGATGAGGAGGAGGAGGAGGAGGAAGATGATGATGCTGATGATGATGATGCTGCTGATGATGCTGACGATGCTGATGATGCTGATGATGCTGATGATGATGATGATGCTGATGCTGATGATGATGGTGATGGTGATGGTGATGGTGATGGTGATGGTGATGGTGGTGATGGTGATGGTGATGGTGATGGTGATGGTGATGGTGATGGTGATGGTGATGGTGATGGTGATGGTGATGATGATGATGGTGGTGATGATGATGACGATGATGATGATGACGATGATGATGATGATGATGATGATGATGATGATGATGATGATGATGACGATGAGGAGGAGGAGGAGGAGGAGGGAGGAGCGAGGAGGGGGCCGGCGCTTGGCACTGGTTGTATGCGCCGGCGCACGACCAATGCGCGTGCAGATTGCGGCTCCCCCGCCGCGGGAATGAGGAGGAGTAAGGGGAGGAGGAGGAGGAGGAGGAGGAGGAGGAAGAGGAGGAGGGGCAGGCGGAGGAGGAGTGGCGCGAGTGTTGGGAGAGTTTCTTGGAGCATTTTTGGAGGCCCCTTGGCTCCTACATGTCCTGTGAATGATTATTGCCGTTCGCTGCTGGTCCGTAGTGCGGTCGTTGGGTGGGGCCCTGATGTCACGACAGCCTCTGCATTCAGACACGTTGCCCTCCTTAGCGCCTCTCTTTTTCCATTCCCTGCCCTTTAAAGCGCGAATCTCAAGATATGCCATCCATGTGATTACAGACCTTTCGATCGCCGAGCCGAGGAGGAGGAGGAGGAGGAGGAGGAGGAGGAGGAGGAGGAGAAGGAGGACGAGGAGGAGGAGGAGGAGGAGGACGAGGAGGAGGAGGAGGAGGAGGAGGAGGAGGAGCCCCAGACCACACGTTCCAGAACGCTCTCCTTGGAACGGCCGCGGCGCCCGATACATCCACCAGATCTTTCGAATCTCGGAAGTCCCAGAAATATTGTTGTCCGACTTCGTCCCAGGCTATGGTTTCGCATTAGTCGGGGGTGGACAGAACCCCCAACAGTGACACGTCGATTAGTGAATTGTCCGTTTTCGGTTCTCGAGAGGGCGCCGCGGCCGTTATTTTCCAGTCTTGCGCCCGCCAGGTAGGGGCCTCAGGTCGTTTTCACTAAACCACGTTTTACTAAAGGGAGGTCTGTCCATCCCCGAATTAGATATGAATGTTTCAGTACGTGGACCCCTAAACCCTAAAATCCCAAGCCTTAAACCCAGGAGGAGAAGGGTAGGCAGGGGGGGGGGGGAGGAAGAGGGGGCGGCGGGCGCATGCGGCGAGAGGGGCGCGCGAGGGTCGGAAGGGTGGAAGGGGGAGGGCTTAAGGCTCGAGGGGGTATCGAAGTCGACTCTGAAGTTCACGCCTCAGGCCCCTGGTCGGCCACGCGCAGAGGGGAGTGCGGGGGAGGGGGGGGAGGGCTTCTCAGAAGCACCCCCGCGCCTCTTGGAAGGCGCGGGCCCTGTCTACGGATGTGATGCCGGCGCCTTCGCAGAAGCAGCCCCCTTCCAGGCAGCCTCCCCCCCCAAACCCCCAAACCCCCGTGGTGCGCGCCGCCAACCTGGGCGTGAGGACCACTCGGGCCTGGCTCTCCTGGCCCCGCGGCGGAGAGCGCGCGGGCCCTCGGCTCCCGGGGCCCCGCGTGCGCGAGCGTGCTCCCGCGTGGTGGCCCCCGCGGAGCTGCGCCCCGGGCGGGCCACGGCGGGCCCTGCGGCCGCCGGTGGGGGTCGCCGTCCGGCGCCCCCTCTCGCGTCCGGGCGCCCACGGACCGCTCGAGGGCCGGCGAGGGTCAGGAGGGGAAGAAAAACACGCAGACACGAGGAAGCGTCGATTCCCCAGAAGATATGGGAAAAGATGGGGAGTGGGGGGAGGACAAAAGCCCAGAGAATGTGGGAAACTATGAGGGATCTTGTTTTTTGTGTGTTTTTATGTTTGTGTCCCAGGGCCCCTTCAGAGGGGGAGGGCGAGATCGGGATCGAAGTTTTGAGCCGGCTGGGGGGCTGAGGCGGCCCAGCATTGGTTCTGGCCAGAAGGTGTGGGGGAGAAGGGGCCCCCTTTTCGTTGCCACGGCTTGCAGCGGCTCGAAAATTTGGTCAGCTTCGACCCTGGGAGGGCTCTGGGGGCCGATTCTAAGTGAAGTTGCCTTCATCCCCCTCTCTCGACCGAATTGCTCTGGGCTTATCCAGCTCAGACCCCCCGGAGCCGCCTCGAAATCGAGGTTGAGCCTTTGTGGGCCGTGATTTGGTTTCTATTGACACGGGCACCGCCTCCAAGAGGTATTGAGTGACCTACGCATCTTGCCGTTGCAGAGCCGTGAGCGCAGACTCGTCGGAAGCTGCTAATCTGTTGATCGACAAACTCTCGAACCCGTCTCGGGGCCACTTTGGGGCCGAGCAGGCGAGAAGGCGAAAACCGCTGCGGGCTCACTGCTGCGGGCCTCCGGTGTGCTTCCCCTTGCAGGCCCGAGGGCCGAGGACCACCTCAGAGCCACCCTGGGGCCGCCGCGCGACCACCACCCTGGAGCGCCGCGCTGGAGGCCGCCAGCCTCAGCGCCAGAGAGCGGCGGAACAACAACAAGAAAAACGCCGAGGCGGCGGCGGGGCTCCGCTTGCTAGTAGGGGTCAGACGTTTGGGGGGTCGGGGAGAGATGCGCTCCGTGCTTTGGACTTCCCTTGTGCGGGGCCGCACGTGTCTGAAGACATATCCTGCCCGCTGCTATTCCTTGGCAATTCCCATGATAGCTCTTCGCCTGGGCCAGCAGTTGTCTCAGACAATGTTTTTGCCTTAGTTTGCCCTTCGCTGACTCTGCCCCCAGAAGTCAGACCCCCATCAGCAGGAGGAGGAGGAGGAGGAGGAGGAGGAGGAGGACCAGAGTAGACCTGAGATACACCAGCAATGCTGCAATACACCCCCCCGTGCCAAGTCCCCTCCTCATACTTCCTTATAGGATCTCTTTCCTATTCGAAAGAGCCAACTGAGAAAAACTGGCACAGATGGGCCTGCCAGTTCGGCGAAGGCCTCGCTTTGAAAAGGAATTTCATTACATCCTTCTAGCACGTAATCATGAGCGCGAGAAACTGTGAACATGCAGTTCAACGAGGTCTCCAGCGAGATCCCCCCTTCGAAGAAGGGCCGCCCTCACCCGTGCAAATGTTACATCAGTTTTACATGCGTGTGGCCATGCGATGCGAGGAAGTCCCGACCGGATATCCCGCTTTGAAAATGAGCATGCGTTGAAGCTTCAGGTCGCCAGAACGCACGAAGCCTCGAGCAAGAACCTCATGTTTAAAAAGAACTGTCCTTCACCCGTCTGAACGTTGCACTAAGAAAGACAATGTGCGCGGCACTGCGGCGAGAGCCTCAGTTTGAAAACAACATGTGTTAATTCTTTGTAACTGTTGTAAGATGGTACGTCGAATGTGCGCAGCGTTACGGCGAGAACACAATTTTGAAAAGGAATTGCCTTACATGTTTCAGACGAATACAGAACGTTGACACGGACCCATTTTGAAGCTCACAGCATTGAGGCGAGAGCCACACTTTGAAACGGAACCGTCCCATCTTCGAATTTGTTGTTTGAAATCTGCAAGGCGTTAGGGCGAAAGCCACACTTTGCAAAGGAACAGTCCCCCTCCATCTTTGAAATTGCTGCAGGCTTTCAAGACGACTGTGCGCGGCGGCAGTGTGAGAGCCACAGCTCAATCAAATGCCTCCCCTCCATCTTTGAAGTTGTCGCAAGCTGCAATACGAATGTGCACGACGCTGGGGCTGGAGCCACTTTGCGAAAGCCAGTTGTGCTCCATCCTTGAAGCCAATACTAACGCGTTCGGCGCTACGGCGAGATCCGCATCTTGAAAACCACCCGCCCTCCATCCTCGAGCCGGTTGCAAGTTTCAAGTTTCCGGGCCATAGATGTCGAGGATGTCTCGGGCGGAACGCCCAGCCCGATTTGCCGACAAGCTTGGGGATGCGACAGGGAGGAACTACGTATGTTGGAAAGAGATTGTAGAGGAGGAGGAGGAGAGGCAGAAGAGGAGGCGGAGAAAGGAGGAGGAGGAGGATAAAGAGGAGGAGGAGGAGGCAGAAGAAGGAGGCGGACCAGAGTAAAGCCCAGCTGCATCAACGGCGTTGCAATACATCATCCAGTATCAAGTCCTCTCCCCACAAGTCCCTATACCAGCCTTCCTATTTGTTATGGGCCTGCCGCTCAGGCGAGAGCCCCGCTTTTAAATTGCATTGCCTTGTATCCTTCTTGGGGAGTTCACTGGAGTGCGCAGATGTACGGTCATACAGTTACACGGGGTGCCCAGCGATATCCCCGCTTTGAGAAAGGGCCGCCCCCCAAGGTGTGCAAGTTTTGCACACGTTGTGCAATATGAGAGCTCGCAGCCATTGACCCATGATCAGAAGTGAAAAGCGTGCGGCAAGTTGACGCTGCTGGCCTTCCGGGGAAAAGACCAGGCGATGAACAGATGCTGGCCAAAAAAAGAACCGCCTCCGCCCGCGCAGCTGTAGCATGTGTTGAATCCCCTGGCTATTATATTAAAAGTGTCCAGCGAAGGGCGTGTTTTGAAAATGGGCGGCCCTCTGGCCTAAAGTGCTGGAAACTGTGAATCCGCATGCGCGCCGTTCGGAGGCGACAGTCTTATTGTGAGACCCACCTGTGCTGCACCCCTCAAACTGTTGCAAGCGTTTTTAAGACGAATGCGCACGGCGCTAATGCGGTAACCACTTCTTAACAGGAAACAACAGCCGTGGAACTAATACGAAGGTGCTTGGTGCTATGGCGAGGGCCAAAATTTGAAAACCATGTGCCCTCCATGATTGAAGCGGTTGCAAATGTCAAGTTTCAGGGCCAGAAATGGTGAGTAAGTCTCTCGCGAAACGCCCAGCCTTCCTTGCCGACAAGCTCAGGGGTCCGATAGGGAGGAGTTATTTATATGGAACAAGAAATCGAAGAGGAGGAGGAGCAGAAGGAGGAGGGAGAGGCGGGGAAGGAGGGACAGGAGGAAGAGGACCAGAGTACACCCCAGACGCATCAACGATGCTGCACTACACCCTCCAGCACCACGTCCCCTCCTCAAAAGTCCCCGCAAGCCCTCCTCTTCACCACGGGCCTGCCAATCGGGAGAGAGCCCCGCTCTTTAGGCAAATCGCTCTGCATGATGTTGGAATCGAATGGAGTGCAAAGAAGTACGCATGATCGTGCAGTTACGCGTGGTGCCCAGCGAGACTCCATGTCGCGAGAAAGGGCCGCCCCCCAGTGCGCGTGATGTCTGCGAAGCCTGTGCACCGCAAGAGCTTGCAACTCGAAGTGCATGGCCAGAAGCGTGGACGTGTTGCAAGCTGACGCTTTCAGTCATGCAGCTTAGCGTATTGTGGAGCCACCTTGTGGTTATTCTGGGGCTTCTTCGAGGCACACCGGCCATCTTGAACAATCCTCGGCTACCTTGAGCCATCTTGGAGACCATCGTTGCCTGTTTAAGTTTACGTTCCTGGCCACGTTTTACAGAGAGCTCCATGCGATTAACCACAGTTTGGAAAAGGACCGCCTCCGTCCGCGCAGCTGTGACATGTGTTCAATTCCCTGGTGTTCACACGTCAGAAAGTCCCCAACGAAAGCTAATGTTTGAAAAGGAGTGCCCCCCCCATGCCTGAAGTGTTGCAAACTGTTTCAACACGAGTGTGCGCGGTGCGAAGGCGAGAGCGTCATTATGAAAACCACATGCACTGCACTCTTGAAACTACCGCGAGACATTCAGGCCAAAGTGCACGGCACTAGGGCGAGACCCACGTTTTGAAAACGACCCATTTTCCATCATTCAAACTGTTTCAACTTGCAAGCTTCTTCAGGGTTATCATGGTGAAGAAGTCTGTGGCGAAACGCCCGGCCCACCCTACCAACACGTCTGAGCGTGCGGCTGGGAGGAATTACTCAGAAGGAAGCGGGAGGAGGGAGAACAAGAGAGGGAGGGGGAGGGGGGGGAAGGAGGAGGGGAAGGGGGGGAGGAAGAGGAGAAGAGGATGAGAGGGAGGGAGGAAGAAGGGAGGAGGGAGGAGGAGGAGGAGGAGGAGGAGGAGCAGGAAGGAGGAGAAGTGGGAGGGGAAGCAGGAGGGGCGAGGAGGAGGAACAAGCAGCGAGGAGGAGGAGGATTTGGACTGCAAGCGTGTTGAGCCGTCTGGGCTGTCATGAAATGGTGGCGCTGCAGCTCGCAGAGGACAGACGCGGCTAGGCACAGGTTCTGCACGGGCACCAAGGGAGCAAGCACAGTACAAGTACAGTGGTCCCACCCCAGAGTATTGTCCACTCCACCACAACTATAGTGTCAGGCACACTGCACGGTGCTCGCGGCACTTAAGTAGTTGCGTGAAACCGTGGTCAGCGCTACACAGCAACGGCGGTAGCAGGCAGGCGCGGACGGTCCTGGCTCTGCCAAAGAACGGTGCCCTGTCGCGCAAGGGGGGACAGAAATGTGGGCATGGCGACGGCACTCGGGAGTACGAGACTTCACGGTAACACTGAGAACTCCATGCCTGGGATTCGTATCTCGGAGCTGCTAGTATGGCCCAGTATGGCGCTAAGAAAGACACGCGACGAGGGCCGACGACGATCCCGACCCTTCTACCCTTTTGCTTCTTGCCAGCTAACAACCCTAGAGAGCAGCAAGGGCGGCTAGCGGTCGGGGCGCGCTGGAGACACAAGAAGTGTGCACGAAAGGACTCCCGACCCTGCTGATCCTCCCCATTCTCCCTGCAACCATCTTCAGAGAGCAACAAGGGCGGTGGGCGGGCAGAGTGCTCCGAGCTGCCAAAATGGCGCTGATGGAGACACGAGATGCGCGCCGAAGAGCTCCCGACCCTGCTAATTACCCCAGTTTAGTGACCCCGGGCCCTGCTACTCCATAACTGCTGCGGCGAGCGGGCGGCAGGCAGCGGCGGGCAAGTGCACGAGCACCTGGCGAGCCGCGGCGCGCGCAAGAGCCCACTCGGGGGCCCGGTGCCGCACGCAACGGGTGTGTGTTGAACGACGGACTACGCTCACAGGGCCCCCTGACCGCTGCCCACCGTGGGCACAGACGCGAAGGTGCGCCAGGGTCCGACACGACACGACTGTGGGTGGCGCAGCAGAAAGCGGGGGCACTTCTGAAGAAGGTGACCGAGCCGAGAGAGGGCGGGCGGCGCATGCAGGCAGGCCGCGGGCGAGAGAGAGCGAAAGAAGCAGGCGGCCGCTCTCTCTGGATCCTCCCAACCTCCCTACCCGCCTCGACAGACTGAGACGTACGCGTTGGTGCGTAGCCACCGCCACGGGACGGTTGCGGCACCAGCCTGTAACAGTGACCACGGCTGCCAATCGTCGTCCACGACTGGTGCTAATCCCGTGAAGGCTAGTCGTGCGACGGTATCTGCAAACTCGTGGAGCGGGTCTGCATTGCGCCTCAATAACCTGAGGGCCCCACCAAAGAGCCCGCGAAGGCCACGCCGCAAGGTGAGGCAATCTCAGCCAACAAGACAGAAGGAGCGAGCCCACACGCACGCACGGGCTGCGGCTCTGACATGTAGCGACGAGCTTTTTCTCCCGAGCCCGAAAAA